GAATTAAATCTGATTTTTTCCATTAATTCTGCATTTACGTCAGTGTTAAGTGACTTCAGATGAGAACGTCAGAGGATCTTTGATGTTTGTCGTAAAATTTTAAATATAATCGATGCCAGGAAAAAAATCTACAAAAAATTTATTTACAGTTTATGCTGTTAGGAAGTAATTGATGAAATTTTCAATGAAAAATTTAGAAAATTCTAACAACGATGAATTCATACGAAATTTCGAAAATTTTCGAAATTTTGGTTTTCTCCTTTAAGAATATCCAAGGCCTTTGGCTATTTTTTTTCCAGTGAAATGCTTTTATACTTTTGTAGTCGAACATCAGAGCTTTCATTTGAGCCCCATTTGACCTCAAGTTGAATCTCGAAATTCAACCGTTAGAAAACATTCTTTAAATCTTCTTTAAAAAAATAGAAAGTTTACTGTTGGAGGGAGATTGACGAAACGATTTAAAAATTGCAATTTTTGAAAATTACGAGCATTTCCTGCAGATAATTTATCGACAATCAATTGGATTGAAGATTATTTCGCGAAGTTTACTTAAAAAGTTTACTTAAATACTGTTGTAATATGTGTATTCAGTGGATAAGATTTGTATACCAAAAGGTTTTAAATAAACATTTCACTTATCTGTCTATAAAACTATCAATTTTCCGCCATAAAAAATTTATTAATATTCAATTTTTACCCAGAAATCAACTTTATGCCTAAAAAAAGGTTTCCGAAGATTTAAACAATTTATTTGTAAACGACAAATAAAACAAAATAATAATTCTGTGCATGAGTTTCTCACGTAATTTAATTGACAAATTTGATGATTGAAAATGGTTGAATCTACTTGAATATCCTTAAGACTACAATTTGTGGAAGTACAAAATTTTTACTTCGCACTTCCCACAATTTTTTCTCAGCGAAGATGCGAAAAAGCGACTGATTCAGTTGCATTTTGCCACTTCAACTCCCTCCCGAGCGATTTCTCCGAACTAAAACCGAGGGTAAAATTATATTCACCGTAATAAGGTACCCAGGATTATTGTCAATTGGGGTCCAGCATCGCTACACCGCCTGCGGCTCGTTAACGGCGCTTCCATGAACACATCCATTGGTGTAAAAACGCGAAAGATAACACTCGCGAATTGATGACTAACCCACGTTCGCAAAGTTGGTCACGTCACAGTGAGGCGTGCAGGAGTGACACATTACCTGGTTTGTCGTAATCGGCGGCAATTCCCTACGAAAATCGATGGAAATTCCCTCGATCCTCAAAAAAAAAATTCCTTCCAGTCTCAATGTATCACATCCGCGAATAACTATTGCGTCGGCAGCTTTTCTCTGAAGCACTTTGGTCGATAGTGTCCCGGAAAGGGTATGAAATCATCGCTCTAACCCTGTGGCCTCGCGTAACCCCGTTCTACCTGGATTATCGATCCACGGCTTTGGCCCACGTTTTCTCTCCCCGAGAGTCACTCTTTTATTTATTAATTTTCACCTCGATTCTGTTAATCCCCCTGTAACTCTCGGAACTTGGCACACCCCACATCCCGAGAATCTTCAAATTAATAAAGAAGAAGGTTAACTGGAACGAAGAGAAACTATCGGATGACACACGAGAATATTTCAACGGGTTTACGAAGAATTCTCGGTTGATTTTTACATCGCGAGGACTCACTGCTGATTTGTGATAAAATATCTCTTCTTAATGGGCACACGGATAAATGATCAGGGTTCATTACTGGAAAAGTCAAGGAATCGCAGAGGGTAGTTCGCTTCTAGGTATTTTTTCGGCGCAGAATTCTCAAGAAATTTATCCAGTAAAAAAATTTCACAGAAATCATTATTTTATTGCAATAAAATGTTCATAAACAAATCATAAAATGTCCTTCATTTGAAGTATTGTTTATTGAATTACATTTCTGTCGTGAATTGGTAAATTGGGATTGTGGATTTGGATGTGAATTTTTTCGAAAATGCATTTTGTTGTTACTTTTTGGGAAAAATTTTCGAAAAAAAGCACTTATCCTAGTTTACCAACTCACAACAGATTTCGCTTCACGATTCTCCTCCAAACATTAAAATTCGCCGGCCTTTTCCGGACAATTTTTTCTCTCGGTAATTTAATACATTTCAGATAAATTTCAAATTTAGACAAAAATGTTAATTGAAACGAGGAATAATAATCGAAGAATAATAATAATGACACACGGGAATATTTCAACGGTTTTACAAAGAATTCCTGGTCGATTTTGAGATCCTGACGACTCAATCCTGAATTCTAATAAAATATCTCATTAATAGACACACGGAAAGAAGATTAGGAAAAATTACTGCAAGAGTCAAGTAATCGTGGAGACCATTTCCGTTCTAGGTATTTTTTCCGCCGCAGAATTTCCCGGTCATTCGTTTCAAGTATTTTTCATTGAATTACATTTCGCTTCGCCGCAGAATTCCGCAGGTTTTTCTGGATATTTTTTACTAAACACTAAATCTTTTCTTTGAGATTTAATAAATTCCAGATCAATTCAAAATTTATAAACGGAAACATTGAAACGATTATATTAAGAATTCCTGGTTGATTTTTATATCCTGACGACTCCCTCCTGAATTAATAATATAATATAATATCTCGAATTAATGGGCACAGGGAAAAAAAATCAGGATAGGCTACTGTAAAAGTCACGTAATCGTCGAGACAATTTCTATAAAATAGATATTTTTTATCCTCCGGAAACTCATCCACTAAATTATCAAATTCATCCATTTTATTTTGTTCGTGCCGTTGCCAGAAAAAAATACTGTACTACCCCCACAGTAGATTTTACGTGAAATTTTAATATACGAATAACCGTAATTATTGCATCTCGAAATGTATTTTTTTATCGAGCAAATCATGAAATATCTTTCATCTAAAGTATTTTTCTCTTCACGATTCTCTTCCAACCACTACAATTTGCCGAACTCTTCTGGATAATATTTCCTCAACTTCATTCTCTGTAATTTAATAAATTCCAGATAAATTCAAAGTTCACCAAAAACAAGATAATTAACCTAAAGAATAACAATCGAATGACACACGGGAATATTTAAACGACTATACGAAGAATTCCTGGATGATTTTTATATCCTGATGAGTCAATCCTGAATTATAATAAAATATCCATCACTAATGAACAGGATGCTGTCATCATCGAAGCCCACAACAATCACCAGAGAAATTCAAATTGAGTTTCTTCTATTATAAAGACATTATGGCCGCAAAAAATCGAAAGTTCGAATCGAGATGATGATTCAGGCGTTTGAAAGAAGTAATCATCGATTTGATTGGGCTGGGGGAATGATTCAAGTCGCGGGGAGTAAGTGGGTCAGTAACTGTTGTCAAGGTCCTTGCAGGCTCGCCGTGGGGGCTCATGGGGCCATCCCCTGACGACCGGTAGCCCCTCTTTCTCCGAATTCCGATGACTGTTCATTATTGAAACCAAAAAACCCAATAGTTAAAGGTAAAGTTGAGGTTCTTCATCACGTTCCGGTGGTAATAATTCTCTCAATTATTCTCGCAATCGTATGATGGATGATTGATGATTCTTGCATTCAAGTGTTCATTTAATCAAAAAGTCAATGAGCTATCAACATTTAAGGAAATTCAAACACGTTGACATTGTTTTTTCGTTGTTAGTAATTTATTTATTTGTATTCATCACTGATGCAATGCCGTAATTAAGGATTTAAGAAATCAAGTGTTTATCGCATCAAAAATTGAATAAACTGTCAATATTAAAAGGAATTCCAACACTTTGGCATTTTTAGTTTAACCTCGGAGTTTGTATTTAAGCGATATTTGCAATTATTTCATTATCTAAATTATGAATTAGATTTTTCATTGTGAATCGTTAGAAACTATTTGACAAATCCAACAAAAATTGCTAGTTTGACCGTTTATTCATAAAAAGAGAATGTTAAACAAAAGTCCAATAATTTTCCGCCCAATTTTTGTCGCGTAATTTAATTAACAAATTTAGCAATTAAAATTCTTAAAATCCATAGAAAAATTTCAAAATATTGAAGGGAATTCCAATACTTTGGCATTTTTTTTGTTGAAATAATTTTCATCACTTTTAATTTGGCATCAGAGCTTCTGTTTAAACGTCATTTGCAATTACCTTAATTATAAATTCATTTTGAATCGTTAGAAGCTATTTGACAAAGAAAAAATCAAAAAAATTAAATTGTGTTTTCATAATTTAATCATAAAAAAAGAATGTTGAACAAGTCCCATAATTTTTCGCCCAATTTAATTCCCAAATTCAACAACAAAACATCTTGAAATCCCCAGAAAAATGGCAAAATTGTCCATTCTGCCCCTCTCCTTCGAAATTCCCTAGAAGCCGACTACCTCACAGAGATAATTATCAGTAACAAAACAGTTTAAACCCCGCAGAAGGGTGTAAACGGCTGCCGCAGTGGACCGAATCGGCGAGTTGTAGTTTACAGAAAGTAATAGAAAAGCTGAAGAGACGACTAGTGACAGCGAACCAACCGAGAGAGAGAGTGAGAGAGAGTAGTTAAAAACGAAACTAAAAAAACCCATCGGTGGAAGTAAAGAGGGAGAGAGGGCAGAAGCGGAGGCTCTCTGTGTTGCCTCTGCCTCGTGCCTCCGCACTGTTGGTGCTCGGTGGCGGGAGCAACGACGTATTATATAGACGGCTGGGCATACATGCCCGCAAACAGTCGACACGCGGCAGTCGCGTTGAAGAGATTGACAAAAACAAACTCCCGAGACCAATAATTTTTCCCTAGAAATAACCAAAAACTTCATTAACACCTCTCGATCGGAGTTTCGTCGCGGAATCAATTGCTAAATAATTCGAATTCTGTTTTTCGAGTTTCTCGAAGTTATGCCGCACTTCCGCGTGCTCAAAGGTACCACTTGTCAACGAGTGCGCGCGCATTGCCCGGCTTCATTCAAATGCAAGTGATTTTGCAAATTTTTTCAAACATCCAAGATATTCAGCACTGAATTCTGCAAGAGCTTGAACGAGTGTCGAAAAAACGTATAAACCGACACGTACACCATGAAGATAGTAGCTGTGTCGCGGACGAGTGATCACACGAGCTACTGTAACAAATTCTTCTGCCTCGTGAGGCCGTTTCTCCATCGTCGCAGTGAAAATTGTTTAATTTTTTACAAAACGAGTTTCCACGTTTGAGGATCTTGGGGTGATTGAAAAAGTGGTTTGCAGCGATTGTTGGGATTTTAATCGGCAGGAATCGGCGGGAATACCCGCCTCGTACCGCGATCCATGACGAGGGATGGTTTTTATTATTGTGAGAACGTGTGAAATTCTCTCGGTGGATTGATTGTGCTGGCGAATTGGAGGTTTATGTGTGCTCTGTTCTCTTGGCTATGGGCGAGGATTCAATAATATTACCAATTGATCGCGTTATCAGTGAAGACGTCGACGGGGGACGATCCAAGGTGGACAAGCGTGGCTGCAAATTTGTTAGGATTTATAAACGCAAAGTTTCGGGCTCCACTCCCGGCAGTTCACGGAGACAATTTTTTCGCGGTTTCGAGGGCTGCGCTGGCAAGTTTGTGATCTTTGTGGGGTGTGTTTTGATACTCGGGGGCTGTTATCTGACTCTTGGGGGGAGAGATTTGGGGAGACTGAGGATGCAGGGGGATTATCGTGGATGGAGTCGGGATTTGGGGGAGGGGAGGGGGGGACTCGGGGAGGATGAGATGGAGACCATACGGAGGAGCATCGTGGAGGGTCTCGGGATACAGAGGATACCCGATCCTTCGAAGGTATTTCTCACGCCTTGGTGGTGTGCTTTATTTTGTATATTTCGGCGAAATGGGGGGGGGTGCTTGGCGAACAGTTTTTAAGGGTTTGGCTTCAGCTCGGGGAATTTTTTTTCTATTGAAGGTTGGTAATGATTATTGCTGGTTGAGGAAGGGATGAAATCAGAATTTTTGACGAAATTCTGTGGAAACTGAAATTTCCAGTGAATTTTGTCGATGAAATTGAGGAAAATATATAAATTATTCAAGTGTTTTCAAATCATTTTTCAAGGGGGAAAATTTAATTGGTTGTAGATTATTCATGAAAAAGGTAATTTTGTTGAAATTTTTCAATTATTGGGTGAATCTTCCTTACAAGGTAGATTTTTTACAGTGGAGTATTCCAAGTTCTGTCACGAGTGGGATTTTAATTATATTTTATTCGTGTAATTGATAAAAAATCGTGAATAATTCCTGTTTTTCAATTTTTTAAATTCAAAATTTAATTATTTGCAAATTATCTACGAAAAAATTCGTAATCTTCAAATTTTCAATTTCGCAATGATTTTATGAAAATTATTTAAAAATTAGACTTGATAATTCTTCGACTCCTAACGATTTTCAATAGAAAGGCGGATTAAACCTCTAAAATATGAATAGTAAAATCATTGTAAAATGGTCTGTACTGAGTCAAATAGGAGTTGAATGGATAGTCAGATTGTCATGTTCAAATATTAAGAAGAATTTCTTTGGAAATAAAAATTGCTGAAACACTTGAATATCTTCAATTCTGAAAAAGGGCTCAATTCCGAATTTTTCATTCAGCTATTCATTCAAAATTCAATGAAAATGGTGACTCTTAGATAATATATCCAAAGACATTCGATAATGTATCTTAACAATTAAATTTTCCGTTTAATTTCAACATCATTGCATTCTAAAATTCTCATCTTCATAAAAATTTTATGTTCCCTGAAAAACTAAAAACACTTTATCTTCATTCATGAACAGTCTCATGCCCTGATGTTCACGTCCAAATATCGACAAGAATATTCGGCAAAAAAAAATTCGTCGAAGCACTGAATATCCCTAATTCTGAAAAAAGTTCATATTCAAAATATCCATTTAAAATTCAAAGAAAATTGTAACCTTCACATAACATATCCACAAACGTTGAATAATGTATCGAGAAAATTAAAATTCAATTCAATTATCCGTTCATTACATTCTAAAATTCTCATCTTCATAAACATTTTATGTTTCTTAAAAAATTAAAAACACTTTGTCTCCATTCATGAGCATTCCCTTTAAACATCGGAGAGAATTTTATTTAAAAAAACTGTAGAAATCCTCGTATATTCTTAATTATCAAAAATTGGATGAATTCAAACCGTTTTGTTCATCTATTTATTCAACATCCAAAAAAAATCAGATAAAAAAATTCCACTGCAATTTCCTGTTTAATTCCAGCATTATTTATTTATTAATCCACATGACATCCACTTTGACATCTAAATATCCGACAACAAAAATTTTTGAAAGGTTAATAAACAATAAATTTTTCTTTTAACCAAGAAGTCTCTCATTCTCAACTATCGACATCGTGACCTCTGCACTAGAAGTGAAAGAACCCAAAAAAAATGATCAAAATATCAGCAAACTTCCAACACTATTCGATTCTCAAATTCCGCTCATCATTAAAAATTTTACATCCATAGAAAAAAACTGAAAAACACTTCATCTTCATAAAGAATCAGTCCACGCACGATGATGTGTTGTTCGTCTCATTAAACATCCCCATAAAATTTCTAATTTAAACTTCAATTCTTCTCCACCTCATCTCCGAGAACCCCATTAAAATAAATGAGTAACAAACGCATTTCAAATAATCATAAATAACCTCCGTACATTCATTAACCATTGATAAATCAATTCGCCCCAGACAAGGAGTCTCCACCCATGGGCAACAGGTGTCGGTTTTTAGTGGTCCCACCGCCTCCAAATCTCTCCACTGTCTCATCTCTTAATCTTCCCCTTGTCCCTACACCCGATGTTCCTCCCGTTAAGAAATGTTACGTTAGAGTCGATAGATAAATAAGTTGACTCGGGGGATAACGAAGGGACACGAGTGAGAAAATTATCGGAGGGAACGGAACGCGGAGAATGTCGCTGGGAAATTCCAGACGATCTCCGCGGCGAGGGGGGCGGTTCGGTTACATGTGTGCGTAAATTGCCTCGGTGAGACCTCCAGCATCGGGCAATTCGATACCTCCGGCCTCGGAAATCCATGAATGTGAAAAGTCAGATACGGAACGAATGATACAGGAACCTTTTTTGGTTCCTGGAATTTATTTCCCCGGAATTTCCACGGGATCGATTTTAATTGAGTTGTTGCGTGAAATTTGTTTATTTAGTAGAGCGATGAAGTGTGAAGATTAAATGGAAAATAGTAAATACGTATTTTTTTATTCTTAATAATCATGAAATAAGATGTTACAAATTGAATAAACTTCTGCATTGTGACGTCATGTCACGTCATGTCACTTCATCAAATTCTGTGTTAACCCCCTGAAAAGTGAACATTTCGAAACAGTTTAGCGTGCGTAAAACGGTTGTTTTCCGCACGGCGTGTGTAAAACGAAATCTCATGTGAATTCATTTTACTAACGCCATTTCATTCATTCATTAATTCCTTCATTTCATTTGACTGGAAAGCGAAGCTTTAGGCACTCGAAATTCACTTTCCGCACGCTCTTCAATCTTACTCATACGTGCACAAAAAAAACACTTTACCCCCACTGCCGTTCCGAACAGTGAACTCAGCGCGTATTCCAAAAAATAGGATGGGCGTGCGGAAAAGTGGAATTTTATCCGCTAGTAACACAATATATTATTGTATATTCTGTACCTATACCCGCCCAACTGTCAAAGAACACTTTTCTCACGAGTGTCGAACCCTATTGTTCATCGCAATGTGTGAAAAGTAGAATTTCGTGCACGCAGAGCGTGCGTCTAATTTCACTTTACGCGCAAGTGATGAAAAGTTGTTTTCGACGTACAGGTCTTTACCCACTGGAGCTGAGAACTCAATTTCAATAAAAAAAAAATAATCCTCCATTCCTCGGAAATAATTAGATCAACACAGCTCGTCTTTTTATCCAATTTCCTCTCATCTCAACTCGACAAACCCATTTTCTCAAGTAATTACAAGTGACAATGGCTCTTTTTCGTCAAAGCGGTCCCCCGAAAATACTGTGATTCAAGACCCCTTGAGTGGTTAGTCAAGCACGCGACGTCTTGAGTGAGTCGTTTAAGTGAGTTTAAACAAACTCGAGTCGGAGAACGGCAAATGAGAAGAACGGAGACAAAAAGGGCAGACGGCAGAAGGGCGTCGCGACGCGGTAAATGGACCTTCTTCAGTCCGTTGCGCGAGCAAGAGCCTCGGGTAATGCGAAAGAGGTGGAATGACTCATAATACGGACCGACACGGTGTCTCGGGACCACCGGCGATTCACCTTTACGACTCTCGTGGGCTCATTACGGGTCGCCAATCCCTCGGCGCCCCACGAGGATTTTGAGGATAAATAAGAGGAAATTGGGAGAGTGGTGAAAGGGTTCGCAAATTATTGATACAGAAATGGACAATTCGGTTTTTAAGATAACGAGGCGCTACACATTTTAACAAAATGTTTCAATTGTATGGAATGAATTATTCGGACATTTCGAATGAAATCTTCACTGAGATCGCGAAAATATTTGTTTATATTTAAAAAAATTGGTTATTTGATACGAATTAAGTTTATTTGATTCAAATGATTCATTTATCGTAAACATGTTTGTGCGAAGTTGCATTGAATATTACAGAAATTAACTAATTCATCAATAAATTTTCTGTAACCTTTTCGCAGTTAAAAATTTTAACATTTCTTTTCAAATTTGAAAAATAATTATTAGGATTAAGACACAATTTTTTATTATATTTATTTCAATTCATTTAATGTGAATAAAAACTCTACAAAAAATCATTTTTTTTAGAATTCATATGAATGACTCCTGCGAGTGTATTTACGTCATGAATTTTTCAATAATTTGCATTATCATATGGACCAAAAAATTAGAACTGTACTGAATATTCAAGGAATTAACTAATTCATGAAGAAATTTTCTGTAAGTTTCTCGTTGTTAAAAATTTCAAAATTTCTCTTGAAATTTTAAGAATAATCATTAGGCTTAAGACGCAATATTTTACTATCTTTGAAAGCACCTAATTTTATGTCAATAAAAACGCAACGAAAACTCGTTTTTTTTTAATTCAAATGAGTCATTCATGAATTTTTAATAATTTATCTTATCATATGAACCAAAAAATTGGAATTGCACTGAACATTCAAGAAATTAACAAAATCGTCCATAAATTTTACATAAATCTCTCCTTGTCAAAAATTTCAGCATTCCCCTTGAAATTTCAAGTGTAATTCTAACAGTTTAGCTTGAATAATCCTCACACCAGAATTTTTCATTGAGATAAACTACCTACACATAAAAAACCCCTAAAAAGATTCTCTGACCCGAGTTAAATCCAGATAATAACAGTGTCACGAGTGCGAGCCATCGCAATCATTTGAGAACTTCCACACATATGAGGAAGGGAATCAATTAAGGGGTCCAAGTTCAATCGGTGAATCGTTTTGGGAGGAGAAATCATCTCTGGGTCAACGTCTCCACGTCAACAACTTCTTTTTCATCATTCTTTTCCCTCGCACACACGTTTGTTTCTTTTTTTATAATTCTCCTCGTTTTTTTACGAGTGTTCTTATCTCTCTCTGGGAACGATCCCACTTGACTTCTCACTCCGCCTTTACTCGTCTGTGTTTTGTTAATTAGCAACAAGTCGGGCCTTCCCTCGGCGTTTTTTTTGTCATCCACTCCACATCTCTTTTCATCGTTCTCACTAAATGCATTTTTGTTTCGTCTCTCCCCCAACAGGCGAACGTGAGTCAGACGGAGTATGAAAGAGCCCACGTCGAATACCTGAGGAGACTGCAAATGTCGAGAGCACCTGGTGACAGAAGACGGAGGAGACTTCACACGTTTCATGCCACAGGTAACAATGCGCTTTGAATTCGGTTCTAGTACTTTTTGATGGGTTTTTTTATATTTTTTCGAATGGTGAGGTTCGATGCCGTTGGGATGAGCCTTGGTACCGTTGGTGTTTTAATTGCCTTGGGGAGGGATAGGACAGAATAGTTTGCCTTGAATTTTTAGTGACTGTTTTTGTATTTCGAGGACGAAGGAGAATAAAGTGCTGGGAGACATTTTTTGTAGGGGAAATTGGGCATTTTCGGGGAATGACATAAAATTGTCCACTTTTTTCTCGGTTTTATAGTGAATTTAAAGGGAATTCTCGTGATTTTTGATTGGCGATCGTAAAGGATTGATGACTGGGAATAAATTGACGTTTGAAGTTTAAATTCGCGTTAAAGGCCATGGGGTTTTCAGTGTTTATTGGAGATTTATGGTGAATCGTCAAAAATCCATTTCTAAAAATTTTTACTTTTTTATATTTAATTTAGAACTAGATGGAAATACTTATGCTATTTGATGAATAAGTGCGATTAACGGACAATTGGACGATTGGGAGTAAAACAAATTGAAATTGCATCTTTTACGCTATTGACAATTATGTGATGATGTAATAAAATTAATTAATTCATCAGGAAAAATAAGAAATTGTTCTCTATTCCCTGAACAACAATATTCTATCTTTTATTTAATAAAACTTTTATTTTTATTTTATAAAATTGTTCATTTTTTGTTCGGTATTGACTGGCTTTTAATGGGAATACGTGTTTTATTTGATTGGTGATCATAAAGGATTGATGACCGGGAATAAATTAAAATTTTAGCATTTGTTTGATATTTATCCTGAATCCTCAAAAATTCGTTGGTTTTCTCAGAAAAATCCATTCTTAAAATTTTTTAATTTTTTATTTAATTTGGTAATCAAAATAAATGGAAATACTCATGATATCTGATGAATAATTGTGAACAATTACGGACAAATTAAAATTGCATTTTTCACATTGATAATTATGTGATGATGCAATAAAATTGATTAATTCATCAGGAGAAATGAGAACTGATTCTGAATATTCTGGGGGCATTCCCTACATTTCATGAACAACATCGTTGGATTTTTTTTCTAATTTCCAAAAAAAGTTCAAAAACAGCTTCAATTTCTAAATTTTTGAAAAATGAGATTCATGAGAACTTTTCTATCAGTATACCCTCTTAAAAAAATGCTGCTGACCCACCCGTATCCATGCAATATATAAATATGGGAATATTCCAAAAACCCAAAAAGTATTTTCAGCTTTTAAAATTCATAAGGTAAAATCCCGCAGACCGATCTTGTTGAAATTTTCGTGAAAATGTTCAGAATACCCATACGCACAAAACTATAGCATCCGTATTTCGATCGAATCATTCCTCAATTTAATGTGCACAAGAATTTAAAAAATCGAAAAATGTCGAAAATTAAAAATTTCGAAATCGTTCCCAAATGCCATTCAGAAATATTTTCTAGTCGACTGTTCATTGAAAAATATAAACATTTAGACTCGGGAGGACTCAGAATCGGGTTTTGGGGCTTTTTAAAATCAGATATTAGAATTAGATTTCGTTCTTCCTGTGAAAACAAGCGCAAAAAGAAAAAACATTAATGGGATTTTCACAAGTTTCACTTTCAGTCCGTCTGAACGTCCTTAAGCGAATAAAACAGAAGATAATTCTGCCCTGTCATATTCGTCCTCGTTCGCTCGTATTGAGTCATTTCCTGGGGGATTACCGGTACTTCTTTTATAATGAGTGCTCAGGTGACGTTTGCCATGAGCCCAAGAAAAACCTGTCATTAAATTCTCGTTCGAAATTCTCCACTCTCAGTTACTCAATTATTTTTTCAACGACTCGATTCACAATGAACCCGTGATTTTTTTTTCTGTCGACACGATTATCAGACTGACTTTCACGCTTCACTTTGATATTTTCGAGGACGAAGGTGGAACTAGATGTAATTGCATCCTGTTTACTTTCGCCGTGGAAGTCTGAGGCTGGTCATCCACCCCTGGCCCGCTTCAGGAGTATTTTTGCGGGGGTCAAGCGTCGGGGGCGAGCTTCCGGTCCACGTTATGTCTTGTCGAGAGTAATAGACAACCGGCGAACGAAGTCTCACGACCTCATTTCGTTGGAGCAATTTTCCGGGGCTTATCAGCCGCGGCTCGACAATCGTCAAACGTTTTTCTCGCTTTTTTTTCTCTTCTCGGACGATACAAGATGTCTTCGGGGAAAACATTAAGCCCAACATCTTGATTGTGGTGGGAAAAATGGGGGACCCTGAATGTAACCAAATTAAGATTCATATTTCCTGTTCTGTTTTCAATGAATTCTGTTGTGAAGTGGGAAAGTCCGAGGGAATAGCTCAATTTGAGATATTTATGTAGAAAATAAATACGACAGAAGGCCGGATATAATCGATATTTTATTCTTTGCTTGGAAATTGTTGAGGCTATTTCAAACATTATTTTTTTGCATAAGATTTGTTGAAATTTTCAAAAATGATTTTTCGGAGAAAAATCAAGAGCTAGAAGCTATCCGTGAAGAATATCATGCCTCATTCGAGAATAAAATATACCCAACGCCGTTGATTAATTCAGAAAAATTATGAAAACGTATAACGTAACGACTAATCTAAGGAAAAATGTCGAAATATTTTTCTCCAAAAATGTAATTTGACATTTGTCGTTGAAACTCATCGATACCGAGACAAATTAATTACTTGCGGTTGGAAAAAATTGAATGAATACCTGAATTTGAGATATTTACATAAAAAATGAATAAAAAAAGCAGGCCTAATCGATATTTTTTTTTTTGAAAATTGTCATTCATTAAATTTTTTAATTAAATTACGTGATAACAATTTGAAACAATTCATGGAAAAAGTAATAGAAATTGTTGAAATTTTTGCAAACTCAATTTTTTTGCATAAAATTTTGTTAAAATTTTGAAAAATTATTTCTTAGAGAATAATTAATTGTTTATAAATTATTGATGAAGAATATTATGCCTTATTCAAGATTAAAATATACCCAATGCCGTTGATTAATTCAGAAAAATTATGAAAACGTATAACGCAACGACTAATCTAAGGAAAAATGTCGAAATATTTTCCTTCGAAAAAAGTATTTTGACATTTCCCTATGGAACTCATCGATACCGAGATAAATTAATTGGCTATGTGAATTAATTCATTGGGTGTGGTTGGAAAAATATGAATGAATACCTCAATTTTAGATATTTACATAAGAATATAAATAAGAAAAGAAGGCCAGATATACTCGATATTTGATTCTTCATTTGGAAATTTCTATTTATGAAACTTTTCAATTAAATTACATGATAAAAATTTGAAACAATTCCCGGAAAAAGTAATGGAAATTATCGAAACTTTTACAAACCTTATTTGTGTTGCATAAAACATAATTTCTTTATTTGCTGAAATTTCTAAAAATCATTTCGGGGAAAAAATCAGTTGTTTATAAACTATTCATGAAGAATATTATACCTCATTCAAGAATAGAAACACCCAGTGCCGTTAATTAATTCCGAAAACATATAAAAACCCATAACACAACGATTAATCTCCGGAACGAATGTTGAAATACATTTTTAGTAGATGAAGAAATTCCCTTCGAAAACTGATCTCTGGCATTTGAAATCAATAATTAATCCCTCAACGCGTGAATTTGACCAATTATTATCCCAAAAAAATATCAATCAAATGATAACCCATTCATTAAATCCTCCATTATTGACTAACGATGCATCAACCCGAGCATTCGACGTATCATCTCAATTACGCCGGGTGAAAAAAAGCCGAGAAAAACGTTCTCACCGCTGACAAATGACAATAAAAAGCGTTATCCCAGCATCCATATCAAAGTAACGCATTACTCAGTAGCCTCGATAAGCATCTTAAGTGTCTGTGTACCCAGCCGTTAGGATTATCAATCAAATTAGCAATCACCGGAGTGCAACATGAAATGAAGGATAAAAAAAAATCCCATACACTGTAGAAAAACGCTGAGACGCTTGTTGAAGAATACTTGGAAGTCAGTTACAAGTGGAGTCTCGCAATGTGGGCCTGGAGAGACGTGTACTTGAGACTTGTGTTATAATCCCCTTTTTTCTCATATGTCTCCCGCTCCCCCTCAGTCATTTGCAACCTCTCCTCTCGGCACTCCCCCTCTCCCGGGTATATTGTCCTCGTGATACGTCTGTCTCGTTACGAAATAGAAATTCCATTGGAATGTCGAACAACGGGTTTTTGCAAAATGCAATGATGGAGAGATTCCCGTGCTCAAGTCATACATTGATTATTGAGGGCTATTGATATCGTTGTTTTAAACTGCTTTGCGATTTGATAACATTTTTTTGAGTGATAGTATCAATATTTTGGAATCAATATTTTGAAATTTCGGTGGATAATTGAATTTTAATTAGTGTCAACGGCTAGAGCTTTTGACATCATGAATCTTTAAATAGACTTTTTATCAAGACTTTCCAAAGACTTCCTAAAAATTCAAAAAGAAAAATGAAATTTAGCCCTTAAAAGCTCAAACAATAAAAAGATTGGAAAATGTCCGGAAAAATAGGGTCAAATGCTTAATTCCAACGAAAAAAAATGGTCCAAATACTGGCATGTCCTCGAAGATTACGAGAAGCGAAAGAATTAAAAAAAAACACCCGCTCGAACTTCTATTTTTAGAAATCGGAATGAGAGAAAAAAAATGACCACTTGTTTGAATCTTGATAATTTCATTTCGTTCTTCCTCCTCGTCTTCCTCCCAGGTCTGAAGATTCCACTTCAACTTCCGGCCACACAAAGATGTCACCGACAATGGGCTTTAACCAGGGAAATGATTTTACGACACCGTTTCCTACAGTCATAAAAAAAATCAGAACATAAAGTCAAGTTAAGCCGAGGTGACAGTAAACGCTCATTCATTTTTTATTTGTATTTTATTTAGTGAGTGGAGAGAACAATTTATCGAGTGTTATGTTTGTTGAGAAATAGTAATGTTGTATGTAATAGTGCGAAGGCAAACGATTAACAACGGGGGCGCCGTGAGGTGTGCGAGTGGGCAGGCGCCAACGGAGCACTCAGTATCTATTTTTGATCGGAATACCAGTGTGATAAAGTTCTATTATCGGAATCGATGAATCGTTGAGCTATTTCAAGTTTGTATCACAGGCAATGATTTCTGTAACCTAAAGATAACTGTTTCGAGTACCACTCGTGGGTATTTCTCATTTGAAAACATCGGGGGATGTGGGGGATATCGATTATGCATCACGATCACGCTTTCATTCCGGAGATAGGAGTCAGAGGGTGATGTGCGTATTACATTCCACTGGATTATTGTGTAAATACAACGAAATTCTTTGGATTTTATTAACCCAACCCACGTATGTGATCACAGGGGAGATATGTATTTTTAGGTGATTCTATTTTACTCGAGTGGTGACTACTAAATACCGGAAATTCGTGTAAACATTGGGGAAGGGAAAGCCAAATGGGTAGAGAAAAAAGGCTAAAGTAAAGGAATTAAATTTAAAATTTGAAATTTTTACGAATTTTTAAACTCGAATCATTCGTTTTAATAATTTTTTTAGATTTAATTTGTATCCTTTTGCAATATGGGAGAATTTAAATTAAAATGAATAGATATAGTTGCATAGCATGATTTTTTCATATTATCAATTTGAATTTGAAATTATCCTATGAATGAAATGATTCATTATTAAAACCTCTCAACGATTTATTTTCACTAAAATTTCTCGAGTGATTCTTCAAAACATTTCTTACATAAAATAAAACAAAACCAAAACTGATCACTGAGCAGATACGTATTTTTAGATGATTCTATCTTACTCGAGTGATGACCACTAAATTCCGGAAATTTGCGTAATTATTGGGGAAGGGAAAGCCGAATGAGTAGAAAAAACACTAAAGTAACGGAATGAAAGCTAAATATGTTATTCTTAATCAATTTTTAGCCGTTCTTTTAATTTTCTTCATTTAATTTCTCCTCATTTATTTTAAAATAATAAATTCAGTGCAATATGTGAGAATTCAAAGCTCTGAACAATCGATTTTCACAAGAACTTATCGGCTTATCCTGTACCCCATTTTCAAACCCAAAAAAAGTGAACTAAAATCCCTTAAAAAAGTGCAAACAAATAACTAAAAATCCGACAATTTGTTGCAGACGAAATGGATCAACTGTCAAGAACCAAACGTGATCTGTCATCCCCCCAGTCGGACACCTACAGCCTGTACTTCCCCCTGGACGTCCCCGCCGACGACGAGGAAGTGGATCACGCAATCCTAAGACTGATTCTCGAGCCAACGGGAGCGTCAGACAGCGTGGAAGTATCGATTTACCGTATTGGCGAGACGTCAAGCCCGCTAGTATCAAGTGCAACATTTTCCCACCTCGATGGGCCCCGGTGGATCGAGCTCGACGTGACGGAGTTGGTTGTGCTGTGGCACGAGGGTCTCATCGACAATCTGGGTCTAGAGGTGCGCCTCAAGGGTCCCCTGAGCCCCAACGTCTCCCTCGGCTCCCCCGTTCTCAACGTATTCACCACCTCCGGGCAGTTGCGACGAAGACGCTCAGCTCCTGATCACCTCATGTCCCTCCACAAGGGAAGGAGAACCGAGTGTCGTGGTGAGAACAAAAAGTGCTGCAGACACGAGATGACAGTTATATTCAAGGATCTCAAGGGCTTTGAATTTATCGTTCAACCAAAGACTTTCGACGCCGGTTACTGCAAGGGCAGATGTCCACCGCGATACAATCCTGCCCATCATCATGCACTACTTCAGAGTCTCATATGGAAGGAGGACAAGAGAAAAGCGCCCAGGCCGTGCTGCGCACCCAGCAAACTCGCTGAGCTTGAGATACTCTACTTCGACGAGAATGATCCTACTAAACTTAAGGTCTCCAGCTGGAAGAACATGAGGGTGCTGGAGTGCGCGTGCTCGTAAGAAGCAGCCACTTGGGTTCAATTCACCAAAGAGTTTAGACATCAATTTTTTTTTACGCTCCTCCCCACGTCTCTGGGATACTTTTGTCTTCGTAATCTCATACGTGTAACCCTTGACTCTTTTTTTCTGCCTCTTGTGACTGTGATATTAAACGTACGGGAATCAGCAACGGTCGACGCTTCTGCGACGCCAATTAGGGGTTTTTTTATTTTTTTTCTCTTTTAGGGGTTTATTGAGTAGTTTTGGGATTGAGATGAGGGGGAGATGGTTCGTTAGTTTATCTTCTCTCCTGCACTTGATCACGGAATGATTAAAAGTTAAATTATTAATAGCTCGAGGAGTTCAACCTGTTTCGGAGGATTTTTTTCGGGGGAGGAGGGTTGCGCTGTTATTCGAGGGATTGTGCTATTTTTTATTGTTCACCAGCACGCGACATTGCCCGATGGACTATTTGTGTGCTTGTTCGAGGTAGACCCAGCTCCCACTGTTTATCCACACAGCGTGTACATATTTATTAATTTATTTTAATGTTTAGGGTATTTTAGGGGTTTGAGGAGTGGCTAATGCAAGTCTGTTTTTTTTATCGAGTATTTCGGGTCGCGTTTATATGTTTTTACGTGTGTATGTGTAATTGTATGCTATTAGGTATGTAGTGAATCTCATGAGGGGGGGGATTGGGGTAGTTGGTCCTTTTTAATGCGAGGATACTGCTTCGTTGTATTTGAATTTTTGTGCCTCTGAGAATTTGCATTTCGATGGAATTTGGTTGGGACATTATCATTGAATTGATATTAATAAAAGAATGAGATTTGAAAAATATTTTTGTCTGGTGTTATTTGAGACTACCTTTCGCAACAGGAAAACATCTTTCATTCGAGGATAATTTTGGTCTTGAATGAATTTCCAGTGGGAAACTTGAGGATTATTATAGCTGGGTTTTTATTGAGTAGTTTTTCCTTGTTTCACGAATACGTAATTCGTTCTTGAATTCACAATAAAGCGGTTCTTGACTGAAGAATAGCTCTGGATGAGGAGAATTATTTTCAAATGTAAAATGAAAATTTTTTGAATTTTGTTTTATTTCTTTTTTTATTAACTTCCCGACACGAATGAAGGAAGTTTTTTTTTTTTTGAGAATTAGAACATTTTTTATCTATTCTAGTCTTTTGTATTAAGAATGTTAAATTCTTAAATAGAGAATGGAACGCCTTTTATTTGAAAATGTGGATATTGTTAATCAAAGATCGAAGAGTCAACAATAATCATTTATCAATGAAGAATATTTTTTATTTTGATTTCATAGATTTAAGGATATTTAAAATGAAACAGTGAAATTAATGTTTAATTTAATTAAAAATTAAAGTTAAACTTTGCCCGATTTTTCCTTGCGCCACTAGATTCAGCGCATTCTGGCCTATTTTTCCACATTGCCCTTTTTATTCCATTTTTAAAGTCTTCCAATCGGTAAATTATCAATTTGGAAATGAATCCCATAAGAGCCCGCGTATAAAAAAATTTGTTTATTTAATTTTGTCAAAGCCACTGCAACTGATTTTTCTTCATTACCAAAATTGTTAATTTCCTGGAGCATGACGAAATTAAATTGCCGACGAATGGATAAACATCCTTAAAATTCGTAAATCGATAGTTTAAAATTTCTCGACTTCAGCTTTATTCCCTTCCCTCCCCGCCTATGATAATGATCCAAATCCCTATTCTACCAACCGCCAATCAAGCTAATAATGAAGGAATTAATGTACAATATTTACGTTAGAGGTCTCCACTCACTTGAAAAACATCTCTCTCGGCGCGAAAAAATAAATGAAATCATCAAGAATCAATATGACCACGCGACGGCCCACATTTCGCAAATTGCGAGACTTGGCCTTTCCCTCCGACATCGTGGACATAACTAATGAGCATACAATGTCAGAGATAATTATTATCAGACTCATTGTAAAAAGTCCACGTGGAATCCCGAGAAACGTTTTGCAGGTACCCGCACGTCCAAACACGTCAACATGGGCAAATATTACAGTCGACGATCGAGAAATTTCTACTGAACAAAAAAATCTACTTTGGTGAAATGAATTGAAGGGGAACAGTAGTTGAGCAGTTGAATAACAAGTCAGTTTTTCCNGTATTAAGAATGTTAAATTCTTAAATAGAGAATGGAACGCCTTTTATTTGAAAATGTGGATATTGTTAATCAAAGATCGAAGAGTCAACAATAATCATTTATCAATGAAGAATATTTTTTATTTTGATTTCATAGATTTAAGGATATTTAAAATGAAACAGTGAAATTAATGTTTAATTTAATTAAAAATTAAAGTTAAACTTTGCCCGATTTTTCCTTGCGCCACTAGATTCAGCGCATTCTGGCCTATTTTTCCACATTGCCCTTTTTATTCCATTTTTAAAGTCTTCCAATCGGTAAATTATCAATTTGGAAATGAATCCCATAAGAGCCCGCGTATAAAAAAATTTGTTTATTTAATTTTGTCAAAGCCACTGCAACTGATTTTTCTTCATTACCAAAATTGTTAATTTCCTGGAGCATGACGAAATTAAATTGCCGACGAATGGATAAACATCCTTAAAATTCGTAAATCGATAGTTTAAAATTTCTCGACTTCAGCTTTATTCCCTTCCCTCCCCGCCTATGATAATGATCCAAATCCCTATTCTACCAACCGCCAATCAAGCTAATAATGAAGGAATTAATGTACAATATTTACGTTAGAGGTCTCCACTCACTTGAAAAACATCTCTCTCGGCGCGAAAAAATAAATGAAATCATCAAGAATCAATATGACCACGCGACGGCCCACATTTCGCAAATTGCGAGACTTGGCCTTTCCCTCCGACATCGTGGACATAACTAATGAGCATACAATGTCAGAGATAATTATTATCAGACTCATTGTAAAAAGTCCACGTGGAATCCCGAGAAACGTTTTGCAGGTACCCGCACGTCCAAACACGTCAACATGGGCAAATATTACAGTCGACGATCGAGAAATTTCTACTGAACAAAAAAATCTACTTTGGTGAAATGAATTGAAGGGGAACAGTAGTTGAGCAGTTGAATAACAAGTCAGTTTTTCCACTTTATTAATTAAAAAATAAATTTAAAACTTCCTTTCGTGAATTCTTTCGAAGGAAAAATGAACTGTTGAAATTTTTTGGTTGAAATTTAATTTATATCACATTACAGTTCCACTGAAATTTGAAGGAATTTCGTAATTGAAAATTCCAATGGTTTTCCAGCCAATGGAAACGATGAATCATTCATTTATTCAATGAAAATTAATCGGAATCAGGGAAACCAATATTTCTTGTCTATCTGGTATTTAAAAATGCGGAATTTGATAGAATTTTCAGTGAAATTTGAAATTTCCATTTTTTTCCAATCGAGTTTTTCCGTCAATTATTTTTATTGTCATTTTTTTAATAAACATAAAGTGAGCATACGTGCACATCAATTTTTAATGAAGAGACGAGCAAATATCACTCATATAATGAATTTCTCAATTGACAAATTTGTGACAAAAAAATAAAAATTGAATAAAAAAGAAGGAAATTCCATTACATTCGAGTCTTTGAACAGATATGTTTCTAAAAATGTCAAAGTAATGACTGTTTCATAAAAAAAAAAATTGAAAATTGAATGACAGTGAATTTTTCGACGAATGTCATACAATCATTTGTTTTCATTCATAATGACTTGCACAATAACTTGAATTCTAGATTTAGCGTCATATGATTAACATCGCCAGAATCAGCATTACGGTAGTTCCCGCGTCCTCAGATATCGGTTGATATCCCCATCTCTATGTCATGATGATCGAGTACACAGAAAATGATGAAAATAGGTAACTGATTCATTACTTAAATTAATCAACACTATCAACCAATAAATTAGGGAAAGCCAAGTGCCTCAAATAGTTTTAATGGCCAAAATTGTCATGAAACAAAATTTAAAAATACGACAGAAAAATTACTGTCTTTGAATACTAAAATATGGACAATAAAAGAATTGTCAACTCCAAATGCTACAAAACATCTCACCAAACAATAACCAAAGTGCCTCGTTCTCATTAATTTCCATAACGTCACATAACTTTTAAATCCGGCCTCCACAAATGTTTCTCCTTCACACGATCACACGAATTTAATCCCATGAATCGATTGAATCACAAAGATCCCGAGTGTAAATGCCCTCGGGTGGATCCAAACAGCGTGAGAGGTCCCGAGATCGATCTCGGCCGCATTTACGGAGACGCCTCGGAGGAGCCAAACGAGTTTGCGCTCGCACGAAACGATCGTTCCAAGTTGCTCGACCTCTTGAACCCACCCGCGAGACAATCGTTCCTTTCTTCGATGCCTCAACGAAAAATAAAAGGAACTAACCCTGTGAATACCCCGAGCGAGAAAAAAATATTGAAGACGGGGGAAAAAGTTGGGGAAGGGAGACAGGTTGACTTCGAAGTGGATTGGCGCCAAGTGATTGGGATAATGATTTATCTGGGGGTTCGGGCAATTGCATGATTCTCCGACGTGTGTCAAGCTTGACTCATCTTTATTGGAGTGACGAGCGCTAGTTGGAGGAAAAACCTTGACGTTTTGCTTGCGATTAATTATCGCGTTGAGAATTATTCGAGGTAATTGTTTGTCGGGAGAACATACGGTACATTGTGCACGTTCAAATGTAAACAAACTCGTCCTTGGGGACAAAGAGAATAAAAAATCGGGAGGTGCTTGTATCTTTCATACAGACTGTGAAAAAAATTCAGTAGCGAAGTGGTAAAACGGTTTAAGTCGACTTCTCTTAGTTGAGTTTTTGAAGAATATCTCCGAATCCAGAGGAGATATTGGAATTTTCGTAATAACCGTTTTTCTTGGGTGAATTGAGCGCTACAAAGAAGGTTTTAATAAAAATTTAGCTATCTCCCTTAGATTTCGAGATATTCACTAAAAACTAGACAATAGTGAAAATCGACTTATCGTTTTACCACTTCGCTACTGAATTAATTTTGCGGACGAATTATTTTCTTGGAAGGAGAATTTATTTTTTTATTTCTCCAGGCAGGTCATCCCCAGGTGGTCCCAGTCCGTCTCCACAAATTTTAGCTTTTATATTCAATGCAAGCATGAAAATTCCTAAATGCTTCAAATTCCACTGCACGAAAAGTACATGAAATTTATTCAACAAATTAGAGTGCATTAGTCAATGCACGAAATCAGATGAATAATGCATAAATCCGCCAAGGAGATCGAGATTTCTCGCATCACCAGATTAACACATCTGTTCGAGGGTTTATCTCATTGAGCAATTAGTGTCGATAAGAAGTCGTGAATGTCAATCGTGGAATTAAATAATTAAATTGAAACCCAAAGGAGGGAATATTCCACAGCCGTTGGTCTTGTTTCATCCTTTGTTTCTGCGAAGGCAGTTGGAGCAGCAATATTTACAAAAATTAGAGTCTATAATCTTGTTAACAAACGTTGAGATCATTTGAAACCTCAATCGTTTCTCCCGTTGACGAATGGGACAAGGTCTTCATTCTTCAAAGCGATAACTGGAGATTTAGTGGCTCTTGAAATTGTGAGTCATTCATTTTCCGTCAATTATTTTTATTGTTATTGTGTTGATAAACATAAAGTGAACATACGTGCACACACATTTTTAATGAAGAGACGAGCAATGATCACTCATTTAATGAATTTCTGAATTGACAAATTTGTGACAAAAAAATAAAAATTGAATAAAAAAAATAGGAAATTCCATTACGTTCGAGTCTTTGAACAGATATGTTTCTAAAAATGTCAAAGTAATGACTGTTTCATTAAAAAAAAATTGAAAATTGAATGCCAGTGAATTTTTCGACGAATGTCATACAATCATTTGTTTTTATTCATAATGACTTGCACAATAACTTGAATTCTAGATTTAGCGTCATATGATTAACATCGCCAGAATCAGCATTACGGTAGTTCCCGCGTCCGCAGATAGCGGTTGATATCCCCATCTCTATGTCATGATGATCGTCTCACTCGTACGTAAACACATTTCGAGTCTCCAACTGTTACATTACGTTTGGGGGGACGTCCCCATGTCGTACATCAGAGTCAACACGTTGTCGCTGGAGACGCGCGCGTCTCCGTTTTTTGTATAAATGCTTGGTAGAAAGTGCTAGAGCACTGATACACCGGCTGTTACCTCTGACGGTACGAAACGACCAGGAGAATATCATAATGAAGAGCTCAGTTTTGTGCTTCGCGGTTGTTCTGGCGTTCGCCGCATTTTTACATTCCTCTGGTGAGTCTCACGTTTTTTATTTTGTACGGGTTCCGTATAGGCAGATGGACGGCTCAGAATTGCGTTTTTCCACTTCCTACTCCCTATACAAGATGAATTAAATTAATTTTTTTTGGGACTTTCGTTTTTCGCGATTATCTCGGAAACTATGAGAGATAGAGCCTTAAAACCTATTCCATTCGATTCCTGAGGAAATTTGGGTTCCGTATAGGCAGATGGACGGCGCAGAATTGCGTTTTTCCACTTCCTACACCCTATACAAGATGAATTAAATTAATTTTTTTTGGGACTTTCGTTTTTCGCGATTATCTCGGAAACTATGAGAGATAGAGCCTTAAAACCTATTCCATTCGATTCCTGAGGAAATTTGGGTTCCGTATAGGCAGATGGACGGCTCAGAATTGCGTTTTTCCACTTCCTAGGCCTTATACAAGATGAATTAAATTAATAGATTTCTAACAATTAGAAATGGGTCTCTGAAAATCAGTGACACTTCCCTGAAAATAAAAATTGTTTTTTCTGTGTGACAAAACAAAATTTTCCCATTTTATTTACAATTATTTGGCACAGAGGAATTTTTTTCCAATTTGCAGGAACGTGTCACTGATTTTCAGAACTCTATCACCAATTATTGGTGATATTACACACTGACTAGGATATGCCTCATTATCGGTGGTTTCTATCACTGAAATTTGGTAATAGATTTCTAACAATTAGAAATGGGTCTCTGAAAATCAGTGACACTTCTCTGAAAATAAAATTTGTTTTTTCTGTGTGACAAAACAAAATTTCCCCATTTTATTTATAATTGTTTGGCACAGAGGAATTTTTTTCCAAATTTCAGGAACGTGTCACTGATTTTTAGAACTCTATCACCAATTATTGGAGATATTACACACTGACTAGGATATGCCTCATTATCGGTGGTTCCTATCACTGAAATTTGGTAGTAGATTTCTAATAATTAGAAATGGGTCTCTGAAAATCAGTGACACTTCCCTGAAAATAAAAATTATTTTCTCTATGTGACAGACTGAAATTGTCCCATTTTATTTACAATCGAATGGATTATTAACATCGCACCGGAGAAAAATTCACTGTTCGTCTCGAAAATGTACTGAAAATCGAGTTCGCTTCAAGATTACTTCCCGTGTTCGGTAATTTTTCTCCAACTTTTTTCTACGGGTATCCCAGGAAATGAATAAAAAGCATCTTCCATCGTCTGTCCATCTATTTATCACGATCGATTTCGAATAGAAGAATGAGGTCGCATGAAGTGGAGTCTGCGATCTCATAATTTGTCAATTATTCTGTCTTGTCGTGTCATGAAGTTATTCATTCTAAAAACTGAACTTCAGTAGCGAAGTGGTAAAAGGAGATAAATCAATTTTGACTATTGACCAGTTTTCAATCAATATCTCGGAATCGAAGTGAGATAGCAAAATTTTTGTTATAACCTGTTTTATGGAGCCGATTGAGTGCTACAACAAATGTAATTACGAAAATTTCGCTAACTCCCTTAGATTTGGAAATATTCCTCAAAAACTCAACTGAATTTGTCTTTCAAAAAAGTTAACGTTTCGATCCACGTGCGGGTCCTCTTCAGGGCTAATTTATTGGTGTTAAATTGCATTAAAAAGTCAGATAGAATTGCAAAAACTTAGTGTTACATTTTGCATTCAATCTTAGAATTTGTATCTAGATGCACAAGCTGAGGAACAGTGTGCAAGCCACCTCTGCCTACCCTCGAACCAATGTGCGAGCTTCGCGCAATCTGGATATTGTCCAAATCGGGAACACAGTTGCTGCAGAGAGGGTAAGTATTTCCTCGAGAATTTCATGTGAAATATCAACGAAGGACGAATATTAGGAACAGGGGATAAGGAATTGATTCGCAATGAGAGTCGGCTAAACTTCCTTTCATCTCGCTGTTCCAAATATTAATTTCTTACATTTTCCTGTTGAAAGAAAGTGTACGGAACAACCTCGAAAATTCCACTGCAAGTTTTAGAGGACTTTAAAATTTGGAGAAAATTGTGAAGAGTAATTGAACTAAATAAAATCTTATCTGCAGTTCGCAGAGAATTCCGAAGTCAATGTCGTCATTTCGGTGGCGAGTGTGTGACGCACAGATGTAACCAGCGTCTCATCGCCCGTGAAGCTCAAGATTGCAGGTCCAATGAAGTTTGTTGTATTCTAATTAACTGAAAATCATGACGATGAAAATTGTTAAGTGACTAATTTATCTACATTACCAAATACAATTGTTGATTAAGGAAATATCGTTTGTTTTTTATTTCACTACCGTCATTCAGTTTTGGTTAGTAGATGAGGTTTGAATAACGAATGGTAAATATTGACTCGAGATAAAAGGGGAATAATAAATCCATTATGACGAAATAAAAATAAAATGAAATGAAATGAAATAGTCCAGATTTTGCATTTTTTACTATATTTGCGTTAAACATAGATATTCGATGATAATATGATAATTTATATTGAAAATTTTCAACTCTGAACATTAGAATTTGAACGAATGATGAATGAAGCCATCAGTGACTTGACATTTCATAGAAATTGGAGTTTAAAATGTGAAAACAAAATTGTTCAAATAGTTCACATTTTGCATTTTTTAAATATATTTACGTTAAACATAGATATAGAATAATAATGTGATAATTTATATTGAAAATTTTTAACTCTGAACATTAGAATTTGAATGAATGATGAATGAAGCCATCAGTGACTTGAAATTTCATCGAAACTGAAGTTTAAAATGTGAGAAAAAAAATTGTATCAAGATTCAAACTTCTCAAAAATTTATTGCCGTCGTGCAAACATGGCCTCTAGATAAAAGCGGAATAATAAATCCATTACGACTGAAATAGTCCACATTTTGCATTTTTTTGCTATATTTGCGTTGCACATAGACATACGATGATAATACGATAATTTACATTAAAAGTTTTCAACTGCAAACATTAGAAATTAAATCAGTGGTGAACGAAATTTCATAGAAACAGAAGTTTAACATGCGAGAAATAAAATTGATTCGACTCAAAATTCTTCAGTCATCATCTGCATTCATCATAAATACATTCATTAGAATACATGAATGTGATAAAAACTGAAGTGTGAAGGTTCGAACAAAAGTTCATCCAAAGCTGCAAAAATTCCTGAGTTCAGAATTATCTTTTATTCCATGGAGCAGCAGTTGACATAATGCAAACGCATAACCATCTGCATTCATCATAAATTCATTCATTAAACTACACGAGTGAACAAAAACATTGAAACGCATTCTTTTCACGTGCACATCAGCATTATGGCGAGCGATGTGTCCTTAGAGATAATGAATGAAGCGGTCGGCTACTGTCACTGTGTCACCATCATCGTTTCAAACACGTAGATACTGTGGAGTTCCCCGCTGATACTGTTACATGTCGTTTATTTAAGTCAACACGACGTTTGCGCCTGCGTTTTTATGCCGATGCTTGGTGTGAGGCCATTCAAACACCAGCTGCTGACGCGGGAAGAACTAAAGAACAAGAAGAGGAATCAGAATGAAGGGGTCAATTGCTTGCGCGACACTTGTCTTGGTAATCACTGCTGTTCACTCTATTGGTGAGTCACTAAATTTAATTTTAGTTCATTTTTGGAGTGATTTAGGGACCAGGCGTCGGTGGAATCATAAATTTTGAATAATGTTAAAGTTTAAGGAAGTCAATAGCTAATGATACTCATCAATTTTAAGTTATTAAATTAATAAACAATTGAAATATCCAAATTCCAAATTATTTTATCAATCAATAATTGAGTTCGGAGGATTGACGATTATTTGGTTAATCGAAAATCTCTTTTAAGAAATTTAGAAATATTTTCCCAATAGTCAATTGACGATTTACATTATCAATTATTTTATCATTTTCAAATTTCACTCCAAATATTACTAAAACTAATGGTTGATGCCGATTAAATTTGTTGATAAATTTCTAAAAATTTGAGATGGGTCTCTGAAAGGCAGTGACATTACTTTGAAAATTAGTGATAATGTCACTAAGAATTGTTGCTACAATCGTGGAATTTCAGAATTTTACATTCATTGAATTTCACAATTACGAAACACGAACTCATCAGTGACATGTTCCTGAAAATGAAAACATTTTTTCCTCTGCGCATATTCAGTGCCAAATTACGTTGAATTTTAAATGATTTCAAAGTTCAAACATATAATTACCAAAATTTTCCGGATTTCCCTCAATTTTAATGGAATAATTAACCTGAAATTTACAATTTCCATCGATTTTTCTTCCAAAATGTAAATTTTTATTGATGAAATTGCTTGAAATTTCAGTTAAACTATAACAGTTAAAATTGTCAACAGAAAATTGTTAACAGTGTTTTGACCATTAATCGGGGCCTTCAATCAACAAATTTCATCAATTATTCTATTTATAATTGTCAATTTACTCACTTTCCATCGCAATTTTCGTCTTGGAGAAGTTAATTCTATTCTCCTCGACTCTCCTGAAAATAATTTGTTATCTTAAATTCTGAAAAAGAATGAGTTTAATGTAAATGGCCTCGGAGAATATTTTTTCTATGGAAACGGAGGGAATTTAAATTGAGAGCTCTCTGGGAGGAAACACACTTCCTCTGGAGCCTTTGATCTTCAACGAAAGCCAACGAAAGTGAATGACCTGGCGTTAGCTTTGACAGCTTGACTGAGGGCCTATGTTCTCGATTAAACCAGCCTTGAGAATTTAAATTGTTCTCCTTTTTTCGTTCGCTAATAAAAAAGGGAGAACTATTCTTCTGTGGATTGTCTTTATATTGCCTCTCCGTCCGAGGCTCTATATACGGTGACATGATCAAAATTTCCGGGATTTGACACGAAAAATTCTGACGATTATTTCCCCCATCACCCTTCTGAACAATAGAATTGCGGAATTGAACATCCCGTTGTCCAATCAGAACAGAATTGTATCGATAATACCCCGTCGTTCCGTAATTTTCCCGGTGCCCAGCAGAATAGCAAAAAATTGTCGAATTTCCCATCATAACGCCGAATAGCAAAATTTTATTTATCGAAATGGTGATGGGGGAAATAATCCGCTGATTAAAAATTTCGAGCGCCAAAATGAATCGGAGTATTTCCCTCAAAATTTCCTTCATACAAACGAATGCGTCAAATTTCGCAGGAACTTGACGCATTCGTCAAGTTCCCGGGATTTTTTTTAACCTGCGAACTCGGGATTTTTTTAACCTGCGAAACTTGACATATTCGTTTGTATGCAACGAAGTTGTCGGGAAACACCCGATTATTTTGAAGCTCTCGGGGGTATTATAACCGAAAATTTTTAACAGTCTACTTCGTATGCATCCACTCTGTGAAGGCATCGAGATAAGCAGAAATTTCCAGTGATCAAGGGTTACGTGTGTTATCTTCTTTGACATTTTCATTGCTAATGAAAGAGTGATCCTTTCTCTACTGCAGATGCCGCGGAGCTGTGTCCGGAGGAGAATTGTATGGCCCCTGACAAATGCGAGGAGCCTGTAAAGGGTCTTGTGGAGTGTCACCAACAGGGGACTAGTTGTTGCAGCGTAGGTAAGCAAATGCGAAATCTTAAATCTAAAATAATGAAATCAGTAACGAAGTGGTAAACCGGTATAAGTCGATTTTGACTAATGGCCAGTTTTCAATAAATATCTCGGAATCTAAGGGAAATAGCGAAATAGCTGTAATTTCCTTTTTTGTAGCCCTCAATTTGCGCTACAAAACAGGTTATGACAAAAATTTGGCTATTTCTCTTAGATTTTGAAATATTTATTGAAAACTGGGCAATAGTCAAAATCGACTTATACCGGTTTACCACTTCACTACCGAAATGAATTTGAATACTGAATACTGAATACTGAATACCGAAATGAATTCCTCCTCTTTTATTTAAAGATCAATGAAGTCTATGAATTCTCCGAAAATCTAATTTTTCCACGTTTGAGAAAAATTCTATATTTTTTTCATCATTTTCATCGCTGAATATTTTGTATTTACAGTTCGCTCTGAGTTTCGAACGCACTGCAGGCACCACGGTGGCACGTGTATGGACAGCTGCGGTCCAGTCCTACAGAGAGAAACTGTGGACTGCCCGGATAATCAGGTGTGCTGCGTTCTGGTTTAATTACGAGGCAATGAAAAATTGTAATTTCTGGAAACTAATAAACTTACGTGAATAAATCTACCGAAGGACTCCCACGACATTATTTATTCACATCGGCGAGTGATTGAACCAGTAGTTCCAATTCCATTGCAGCGATTAAGTGATCAATTCCATGTGTGGTTAGACAGCATTCGTCTTCCACTCATTCGTTGATATTGATTTTTTTAGGGAATGATTCACTCATTAATTTCACGTAATAATTGAAAATTCAAGGGTACATTCACCTGAATTTTCGTGATGAATATTAAGTGGACAGGACGCGCGCGCTGATCTATTTTTTCATTTACTTGAGAAAAGTTTCGCTTTCGTCGTTTGAATTTCCAGTGTACAAAATTCCATGGACTCAAATGGATTACAAAATTGAATGATACTCACTAAAACGTGAATCAATGATAAAGACGAGTGATAAGAGGAAAATTAATAAATAATTTTGAATCGTTGATCAATTCTCTCTCCTTTTCAACGTGAAACCATCAATACCCGTAATTATTGAAAAATAAGGGAAATGTGATGAATTAATTTTTCAAAAAAGTGAACAATTTTCTTGACTTATTTCACTTTCTAAATTTTCTCGATTGAAAAAAGGGCAGTTGATTAGACAGTTTCTTAGAACCTATATCCAAGTTGAAAAATGGCAGAACATTAAATTTATGTCATTCACGAAGAAAAAAAAGAAAATGCACGAGATGAGAAAAATTGGCAATTCGCGCGCTGATCTATTTTTTCATTTACTTGAGAAAAGTTTCGCTTTCGTCGTTTGAATTTCAAGTGTACAAAATTTCATGGACTCAAATAGATTACAAAAGTGAATGATACTGACTAGAACATTAATCAATGATAAAGACGAGTGATAAGAGGAAAATTAATGAATAATTTTGAATCTTTGATCAATTCTCTCTCCTTTTCAATGTGAAACCATCAATACCCGTAATTATTGAAAAATAAGGGAAATGTGATGAATTAATTTTGCAAAAAAGTGAACAATTTTCTTGAATTATTTCACTTTCTAAATTTTCTCGATTGAAAAAAGGGCAGTTGATTAGACAGTTTCTTAGAACCTATATCCAAGTCAAAAAATGGCAGAACATTATTTAATTTATGCCATTCGCGAAGAAAGAAAAATTACAATAGCAAGAGCGGAAAAAATTGGCAATTATAACGCAAAGAATAACTTATGTGTTCGAAGAATTTTAAAATATCGCGTGTTTTTCCAACGACTAACTTCACAATAATCCATAATAATGATTACAGCTCTTTAAACAATAATTTTAAAAAACTTCTCGCGACTCATTGAACAATCAGAATTAACGATTAGCGCCCAGGCAGTTTCGATATAATTTGACATAAAACAACTTCACGAGACCCTCACTTTCCGTAGATACGCTTTTCATGAGAGAATTAATTGACCGAAATTTACAGTGTCCTTGGATTTTCTCGATGTCAAAGACACCCTGAATTCCCCTAAAAATGGAAATGGCCAAAAGCCTCGTGAAGACAAAAATGAGAATTTCAAGTTCTGCATCCCCACCCCTGGGGAAGTAAAGAGGAAACTGAAGACGAAACGTAGAACGATAGAGAAGAAGAAGAGCAAAAGGTGGATGGGAGGAGGGAGAGACAGGGGATACTGACGTGCCCCGGGCAATGCAGGCAGACGCGAGGTAGAGCCATTTCGGTCGCCCCAGGCTAGGCGGGAATCATGCCGCGCTTGGAAGGATGCCGTTGAACGAAAGAGGCGAGGGAGAGGATGAGGATTGCCGCGGGCTGGGACGAGCTTGGTCGCTGCGGGTACGGAAACGGTCGGGAGATAGCGCGCACACGGCTCTGGGGGTTGTGGCATAGCTTCGGGCCCATCCAGATGCGAAGTGGCGGATAGGTAAGAGAAGAGAGAGGAGCGGGGGGGAGAAAAAGTGAGGGAGGGGAAGGGATTTTGCCTCCGGCAGGAATGAGACAATGCAGGCCTGGTGGCCCCGGGTGATACGGTCGACCAAGGCCCTCTACGACGCGCACAGAGCCATAACGATGCCCTCGAGGGGACGCCGTCGTGGACTAGAGCGTCGGGTGGAAAACGATAAGCACCAAATGAAATATTAATGAACGCAACTGTACACTAACTCTCCCGGCCATTTGGCACTCGATCCCAAAATGCATTTCGGGATAGTAAAAGGGTTAATAAGTGGGAAAGCGCTGCGGAGGGGAGGGATTTTGGGGGGTTTTGAATTGAGTGAATTTGATGGGGAGCTTTTTTAGTTTTAGAAGAAAATAAACTCATTGGAAGTTTTAGTGTGTGAGAGCTTCACTTGAATTTCAGGACATTTCTCTCTTGTGAATTCGTGGTAGGACGGAAAAATCAATGGACATTGCGAATTTCAGTTCAATTATTCCAGTGAAATTCAGGGGAATTGGCGAATTCTTGGAAATTTCTGTCGAGTGACACATTTAATGAAATTTTAAGGAATTTTGTCATTGAAGTGTCAAAATTTAATCTAAAAATTGATGGATAGTTTAAATTTTATGTCAATCGTCAAATGAATGGAAATGAGAAAAATTCAAGTGAATTGACGAATTCTTATCGTTCTTCTGATGCAAAAAATTAAGATTTCATTGAATTTTCAGCAAAATTTTATTATTTTTCGCCCCTAACTAAACATCCGTCGTTTCCCTCAAAATTACTGCTAAAATGTCCGTCAAATATCATTTTTTTCCCAACAGTCCTAACGGATTCCTAAAAAATACGGACAGGTCCATAAAGCTTAAACTTTTTCTTCTCCTATTATGAAAGACATTTGATTGACATGAATTAATTTTTCTCTCAGCGCGGGTCGATCCCCAACTGCATTTCAACGAGAATAAAAAAAGTGAATACATGAGGAACTTTTGTGATTTCCATTCAATTTGTAAAAAGCTTGAGTTTGACAAATTTTTTTAATTTTACAAGGAAAATGGGAGACGTGAGTGTGGAGAAAATGAGGGAATTCTGTATGAACACATTTCTGTTGGTTTTTTCTTCTGAAATGAATGAGTGAGGTTTATCCCGGCGGGCAATTCCGTAATTGCAAGGAAAGACGAGGGAAACGTTAGTAGAGAGGAGAGGGATCTTAGAGATATAAACCTCGAGACTTCATATCCCACCTCTGGAAGGGGAGGATGGGGGAGAGTGATATCAGTGCGGGTAATGCCTCCCGCATGCGACTGCTGGAGCATCACAGCCGCCCCCGCAAGCTACCACCACCGTTAGGGGGGCCTCGAGAGTCGAGCTTCTCTCGGCCTATCTCACTTCACCGCACGATCTTCACGAGTCGCCGGAGGACAATTGTGTGGATGTATTGAGTTAAAAATTGGATGAAAATATTTAACATAATGTTTCTCAACTTCTTAACAAATAAATTCAAAATAACGCTTGAAAATAAAATTGTGGAAACAAACCCCTCATTTGAGACGAATTTAATTGAAACAATTTTCGAGACGCTAATAAACTAGTCAAAACTGAATGTCACTGCAAATTTTCAACCAATTTTTTATGCAAAATCTTACTTTTTCATTCACTCACAAATTATTTCTAATAAATTAATGAATGAAAAAGAATCAAAAAACAAGAAAAAAACAATTCCAAATTTACTGGCCCAAGTGGAGAAAACAAAGGATATAAATTTTAAAAATTTCAACCAATTGTTTATCCAAAAATTTATGTTTCCATTTATTTACACAAATTTTACATAAATTAATGAATCAAAAAAAAATCAAAACGAAAATTAACTGCAAATTCCTTCTCCAATTGCAACGTGTGTTCATTGAAACCATATTTTTTATACAAACATTTACGTTTAAATGTATGCAAAACAATTTTTCATAAATTAATGAATGAAAAAAAATTGAAACGAAAAATAACTGCCATTTTATTCTCCAATTGCAGAAGAAAATGTTTCTGTACCGTGTATTGATTAAAAGCATGTGATTCTCCGCAAACAACTGGAGCTAAAAAAAATCATTTCAAATGCAAATTCTCTCTCCAAGCCTTGAAATACATAATAAGCATCATTGTCGGTACCGCAAGGCTGCATATCCACGACGAGGTGGGTGTTTACACCCCGAGGTGCGTCCCACGGCCATCTCCTCTCCACCACGGTCTCTCTCACGTGAAATCCACCCCTCTCTAGATGTAAAACTCACTGCAGCACTCGTAAGACTCAACTTTTATTCTTACATAAGGCACCAAACATGAAGTAACCTCGGGGGCGAATTCCCCGGCCACGGCCCGTTCTCTCAAAATGATTCACAGCCTCCGGTAATTTACATTCGCTTGCGTGGGTGATCGCTCTCACTGTACCTTCGTAAATATAACCCCCCTCCCCCCGCGCCCCCGCCACCATCGCCATCGCCTCCTCGCTCGCAGTGAGAAAAGGTTAAACATACACTTGAGAAACAGCAGATATCGCTGGATTCAGATGGCTAGGTCCGACGTTTGTATACATTGTGCCTCTAATATCAAGGGTGAAAGGGATATTATGCATTATGTGGATGAAAAAATGAATAGAGTACCCTGCAGCAGGGCCGCGAGGTAAATCTAGGAGTTTTAAACAACAACTTTTGCAACTCTTGTTCTTGTTGCCAAAAAGGAAATTGTGGGTATTTTGGAATGAGAATTTCCGTTCTTATTAATTATGTTTGAAGATTTATTTCTGGAGGTGAAATATTCGGTCTCCCTTTTCTATACTTTTAGACAGTCATTGGTAGCTGAGGGGGGCATAAATAGGGAATTACTTGGCGTAAAAATTCCATTTTGGCGAATGTCGACTTTTCCTTTGAGAAAGTCCAAGATCTGACCATTGATCCAGGTGAAAATGAAATGTTTTGTTTACTTTTCTGTAGCCTCTGAGGGTTTCATTGACATCTAAAAGGTGAATAAATGCAGACTCAACATTCACTTGGCGAAAAATTTCCATTTTGGCGGAAGTCGACTTTCCCTCTGATGAAATCCAAGATCTGACTCTTGATCCAGGTGAAAATTGATATTTTTTTCAGACTTTTC